CGCTGCCTGACTAACGTGTGGGTGCGGTGAAACTACCTAGAGGTGCATTTGGGAACACTCCTGTGCCGGGTTTTCTACCTCAGATCTGCATGACCACTTCCCGAGGGACCGGGCGCGCCACACCACGTATTTAAAACTGAATAACTAAAAAAAAAAAAAAATTAAATAAAATAAAATTTAAATTTTATGCAAACGGTCTCGGTCCAAGCCCTCTGCCTTCCCCTGCTCCGGCAACTGTGCAGCTGCAGCCGGGCCCCCTGAGTCGTCCGCGGGGCGAGGGGTGCTGCGGGATTAAGGACCCCTCTGAAGTCAGTACTCTGCTGTGGAGCCGATCCATGCGAGGGAATTCCTCCCCGGGTGCCTTGGGCAACTCCGTGGGATCCTTTGGGACTCGTTTGTGCCGTGCTTGCTCACCCCAGGAGCTGGCGAGGCTCTACAAACATGTACCCGCAGTCTGCCCCAGGCCACGAACTTTGCCCCTGCCCTACAACCCCTTCCCCCCCCGACTTAGAAGACCTGCTAGAGGAACTGAACTCGTATTTGGCCTGGGGAAGGATAGCAGGATCAAGCCTCTACAGCGTCTGTATGGCACGAGCACCGGTGAGCTGTGGAGTGCCACTTTTATTGCTGCCACGCAGAGAAGCAGGACTCGGCTGCCCTTCCCTGCCCAGGCAGCTCGCCCGGCTCTGGCTCCAGGAGCACTTTCTCCCAGGGATCCCCTCTTAGGCGCTGCCTTGGCCACATTTTGAAGGTACAACATCCCCTCTTCGCCATCCAAATGCGATGGATATCACGAGGCTCAGACATACGAATGCTCACACAGCCTTAAGTCATCTCTGCCACCTCTCAGGCATAAATCCTTAGTAATCCTTAGTAATTAAAGCCAAATCCTCATTCCTTTATTCTGTGCACACACGTTTCTCCTACCAGAGACTACCAAGACGTGTGTGCACAGGCTCAGGGCCTGATCCTGACTTCCCACGCCGTTGTTCCCAGAGACACCAGGATAAATCCTTACACTCGTCCGCTGCTCAGGGCAAAGAAAACCAACACAGGGAAATTTGTACATTATTGTAGGGCTAATCTGAGAGCTCAGCAGGGAGCTTTACATTTGCTATCTGAAACCAAGCTTTTGATTGCGACCAAAGGTGTAGAAATAATGATGCAGCATCTGTAAAACGCTGACATGTCGGTCAATCTGCTTGTGCAGCCGCACACACCGAAAATACCCCAGCTCACCCGTGGGGAAGCAGCTCGAGTTTTACAGCAATTTTGTGAGTGTGTACAAATACAGACGGACAGACACACAAACTTTTGGGGGTCCGGCCAGCATAATTAAATCTTGATGAAGGATCTGGTTGCATGAATCAGTCTTCCCTCGCTCCAGAGCCGCTGCAAGGCTGCCTTCCCAGCCCCTGATCTATTTTCCGATCTCTTTGAGGCTGAGATAAAAATTGACTGCCTGAGAGAAGCAATGCCCTTAGTGTTTTTTTTTTTTGTTTTGTTTTGTTTTGTTTTTTTGTTTGTTTTTTTTTGTTTTTTTTTTTTTTTTTTTTTTTTTTTTTTTTTTTTTTTTT